CAAATTGTTATAGGTAAAGATTAAAATTCGTAATATAAAAATATGTGTATAACTTGATATGTTAAAATTATTTAATAATTATCTTTCTTTAAAGTGTATTTCTGATAGATTTGATGTCGGTACAGCTACAGCATGGCGAAGTGTCCAAAAAGTTGTCAATGCTCTATATAGCAAAGTAACAACATTTATTTGCTGGCCAACTGTAGAAAAATCGTTACGAAATATGGAAATAATGGAAAGAAACTATGGTTTCCCTGGTGTAATTGGGGCGATCGACGGAACTCATGTTAAAATTATAGCCCCAACAGATAACAGTGATTCCTATATAAACAGAAAAGGATTTCATTCCATCCAATTACAGGTAGAAGAATGGATAATATTATTAATAATATATTTTAATTTTGATATTATAGACAATTGGTGTGATGATAAGTAAACAAATAACTCACATCTCAACAGGTTGTTTGTAATGAACGTCTTGAATTCATGCATTGCTATACAGGACAAGCAGGTTCTGTACATGATATGCGTGTCTTTCGACTATCTAATTTTGAAACAATGTGTACGGATAATAATTTTCCACATGATAGCCATATATTGGGAGATGCAGCTTATCGCCTCACAAAATACATCATGGTGCCATTTAAAGACAACGGTCATCTATCTGAACGTCAATTAACTTTTAATACACGTCTCTCGTCTGCTCGAATGATTGTTGAACGTTCAATAGGTTTATTAAAAGGTCGTTTCCGAAGCATTTTAGATACACTTCCGATGTATAGAACTGACTTAATACCTAAATATATAATTGCTTGTTGTATTTTACACAACATATGTTTGTTACAATACGATATGATAGACGTTCCTATAATTGTTAATGAACACGATTGTGCACAAATAGTACCGTTTGAAGACACTTAAGGGGAAGGTATTAATAAAAGAAACGCAATAATGTATTTGTTATCATAAAATGTTCTCTAATTATGTTCATCTAAAATAAACATCACAAAGATGATAATAAAGGTTTATGTATTGTATTTTAACATTGTTTTCAAAATCTAGGTATAGCTTCCGGAATGGAGCCGTGTCTTGAATCAGCGATATGCCGACGTTTCGCAAACGTTGCAGTTTGCATCATCAGGGCTGAGAACTCTGATACTGAGCTCCCTTGGGTAAAGGTAGTCCTTATATGCTCCCCTCCAACTTGAGACCCCGACTCCTTTATCCTCCCCGTCTGGGGGGGGGGGCCTCGTAGGGGGGAATGCAAGTTTTCCTCCATGGAAATAGGGCCCCCACAACCCTGTCAAGGAAGTCGGGGTCCATGGACGCTGTCGGTGGGGGCGCCCAATTGCGCTAGCGTCTCATCACAATGTGATAAGGGCGCCCCCATGGGTCCATGTCTATGGTGGAGAGCAAATAGTCCCAGGCACGGGTTTTGGCCTTAGCGATGGCCGCCTTGAGGGCGTCCCGTTTTTCTCGGTAAGCCCCCCTGGCGGCCTCCCTGCCTTCGTCTTCTCGTCCCCGCCGGTCCATCGCCCTCCTGGCCTGGCCGGCGGAGCGCCGCAGTTCGGCAATCTCCGCCGACCACCAATACACGGACCGGCGGGAGTGTGGCCGGGATCGGGGCATGTCGGCATCGCACGCCGCCGTCATTATGTCCCGAATCCCGGCCACCTCATCCTCGATGTCGGACCGGGTTCCCGGAATGGGGCCCGGCTCCGTCCAAGTGGCCGCCGTCAGGGCGGCCGCCAGCTTGTCGCGGTCGAGTTGGCGGAGGGCCCATCTCTGTGGTCGGCCCCCCCCCCTGGTCGCGCCTCCGGAGCACCTCCTCTGGGGTGGCGACCAGCCGGACCACAATGTACCTGTGGTCCGTGAGGTTTTCTCCACTAGTCACCACCCTCCAATCCTGTATTAGTCGGGCCGCCTGGGGAGACGCAAAGGTGACGTCTATCACCGATCTCCCCTGCGGCCCGACGAAGGTGCTCCTCCGGCCTCTGTTGATGGTACAGAGGCGTGGGACGCGACCCATTCTTCTAACACCCCGCCCCTTCGGCACCTTACCGAGGACCCCTATAGTGCCGATTTGGCGTTGAGGTCCCCGGCTACCAGGACCGGTCTTTGGGGACGCCTCGAGATGAGGTCCCCTAGCCGGCCCAAAAGGTGCTCGAAGTGAGCGAGGTTCCACGAGGGAGAGGCATACACTCCAACCACATCCAGGGCCCCCCACTCGACCGCGACATAGCCTCTCCCCCTCTCCACGAATGAGATCGGGGGAGAGGCGTCTCCCTCTTGCCAGAAAATCGCCACCGAGCACTTACCCATTATGGTGGGGTGACTTCCGGGGACGAGGCGTGGCTCGGAGGCGATTCCCAGCCCGCATCCGCGCTCGCGGAGGGACTGCATGAAGAGCCCCTGAGCTCCGCGAGCGCGGTTAAGGTTTGCCTGGAGGAGGCGGGTAGCTATTATGGCTTAGCTCCGCGCTCCTCCAGGCCTTCCCCTGACTTCTTCGCGGGAGAGGGGCCCTCGATTGGGTTATCCCTTTCCCGCGATCCCGCTCTCTTGCTGGCCCCCGCCGCCCGCGGGATCCTCTGCTCTTTAGGGGAAGGGTCCGCGGGGGGGGGGGTCGCGAGTTTTTGGGCCTCTCCCTCGATTGTCGAGGGTGGAGGCTCCTGGCCTTTCTCTGAGGGTGGAGTGGGAGGGATATTAGAGGCTTTATGTCTCCTTCTCCCACTCCGACCCCCTTTGCCCCGCTTCGCCATTTGGCAAGCGGAGCCTCCAACTCTATGACCACAGGGCCGCCCTGCGTCGCGGCACACCGGGCAAGTCGCCGGTGCGTCGCACGCCGCGGCCCTGTGGCCGGCCGAGCCGCAGTGGTAGCAGAGTCCACTGCGGTCGACCTTACTCCTACAGGAGGCCTTGACATGGCCCCACTCCAAGCATCTGTAGCATTGGAGGGGGCGACTACTCAGGGCCTCCACGCGGACGTTGGACCACCCAACGCGGGTGCGTCTCCCGTCCGTGATCTTTTTGGCGACCGCAAGAGGACACCTCAACCAGAGGGTCCCCATGCGGTCGGGTCCAGGGCGGATCTCGCCGGTCTATATATCGCCAGGCCCGCAGCCCCCGGCGACCGCCACCGCGGAGATTATGTCCTCCACGGTGGCCGCATCGTCCAGGTCGCGGACCCGGATGTCGGCCCTCTTCGCGGGACGCGCTATGCGTACGTCCTCTTTGTCCGCGAAGAGAGCCACCATTTTATTGGCCAGGGCGTCCGCCCTGGCATGTCCTTCGGGACCGGGGATCTCGAGGACCAGGGCGCCAGTGACAGCCCTTCTGGTCCTGAGGTCCCCGATCCCCAGTTCTCCTAAGTCGATCTGGCCCCTCGCCCGCCGCATCACGTCGGCGTAGCTGCCAGCGGGGCAGCTCACCGTGATCGCGGCGGCGCGAGGAGCCTTGGGGAGGACGGGTTTCTTCTTCCCGCCCCCCGCGGCGTTAGGGATTTTCCTCCCCTTTTCGCCTCCCTTGGCCGCGGCACCCTGTTTGGGCCGCGGCTTTTGGGAGGCGGATTGGGAGGTCTTCGACTTCCCTCCATCCTGTTTCTCCCTCCTCTCTACCACCCGGGCCCAGAATTCGGACCCGGTTTCGGAGGGAGGAGAGCTGTCGTGGGCCCCCGAGGATCGCGAAGTCGCAGTCCTCTTCTGACGGGGGGGCCCACTTCCTCCGCAAGGGCAGCGGGGGGCAGCCGTATCATTTGAAGGCTGATGTTCACTCCCGCTGCTCTTCTTCTTCTTTTTCTTCTTTTTCCCCGACTTCTTCCCCCCCTCGTCATTGGGGGCGGAGATTGCCGGTGATCGGGGCGGGTTCGGAGGGATCTGGGGGGCATTTTTTGCCCCACCCTCCGTAGTCGCCCCACTCCTCCCTTTCTGGGAGGCTATCCGGAGCCGTGCGGGTCGCCCCCCGGAAAACTCGGGGAGTTCGGCCCACAGGGCCCCAATTATGCGGGGAACTAGGGCCGCCACCAAGTTGCAAACTGCAACGTTTGCGAAACGTCGGCATATCGCTGATTCAAGACACGGCTCCATTCCGGAAGCTATATCTAGACATTGTATCAATGGCCGTGAAAGCCTCAAATCTAGTATTGTTTTCAAAATCTTCTACAAATCTTCAATATTTAAAATTATTCTGCAATAAGTCGCAAATATCCTCACCAGTCGCAAAGGATGATCACCATTAGTTACAAAGTACTATTTATAGCTGCAAGACAGTTGCAATTACTAAAGGGGAGTTGCCCAAATTTCAACTTTTTGAAGACAGCAACTAGCGATTGCAACATAGAGTCTATGTTCTGTTCCTACATTGCTGAAATGGTGTAATAAGTTAGAACAAAAAGAAATATATTTATTTCACTCTAACTTTTTGTAACAATTCAGCAGTGCAGAAACAGAAAACAGCCCCATATATAATCAAGCATTTTATAAGTAGAAGTTGTCATCTTTCGTACTTCGCAATGGGATGGTTACAACTTACATAGAAAGAACTTTAATATACATTGCAAACTGAAATAGTATAGTAGTACATCTCATAATAATATATCTTAACGTTAGAATCTTTAAAAAATTAAAAAAGTAAATATAATATTACAATTAGCAATAAATTATTATTGTTTAAAGATTGTTATATATTATTTTATATATTTTATATTTGGAACAATAAATGTAATAAAGAAATATGTGAAAACTGTAATGAAGAAATGTGTGAGATCTTATAGTAACGAAAAACATAAAAACTAATATCATTTGTACTGTTACATTGCATTATATCACATTTCGTATCATGTATAAACTATAATATATAATTAAAATTATTTATACTAAAATTTAGAAAATAATGCACATCTCAACAGGTAACTCTCATACTAACAATACACATAGTAATTCTCACACTAACAGTTTTTAACGCAATGAAAAAATTAAGAAAACAGCTTTAATGTAAAGTAATTTCTAATTTTCTGTTTTTTTTTCTTTCTCTATCAATTGTAATAAATTTTCTATTCTTTTAAAAGCGTTCAGTTTTTCTTCGTGCTGTTTTGTACGAGTTTCTCTGCGTTTAGTACGATCTTCTTTACTAAATATTATATAATCATTTATTTGTTTATTCGTCTTCGTCCTTGTAATGGCTGAAATTACAAATATATATAAAATATATATTTACACAGAAAAATACAATTATTTTACGTGTACCAAAAGACATATGTTATTTACCTTTATGTGCAAATTCTTCTTCAAAATTGAATATATTTTCTTTCTCATGCGATCCTGCTACAGCCAAAGGCTGCACCCAGAGTTTATCCCCAAATAGTTCTTGCATTATCTGTATACGATGTAAATGTCAAAATATGTTACTTACATTAAAAACATATTATTCTATTAAGCACAGATATATATAACTTAGAACAAATAACTTTTAATATTATCACCTGTAAATATTCCCAGTCTCTCCTATTATTGCCACTTTTCTTGTTATGATCTGTAATACATTTGTATGTACGTTTCAAAGATTGAAACTTTGTTGAACATTTATAACCGTTTATATTATGTCCTTTTTCTTGCATAAATTTTGCAATATTATTCCAATTTTTTTTTATTGAACCTTTTCCACTAACAAATTTTTTATGGTGTTCACGATACAATTGTAACAATAATAACGTTTCTTGTTTTGTCCAAGCATGTGTACTTGTAATATAATGAAATAAGAATTAAACAGGAGTAAACAGATAATTCTTTGATTAATATGAGTTGTTAGCGCAAACATATGTCTGTTTTGAGTCAATATCATTTTTTGTTTCATAAACCTTCTAATTATCTGAGAATATTGAAGTATGGACATCTTAATATTAAAACAAATGTAGATTAAAACTTCGTAAAGCTAAAAATGATATTATGTTAAGTTACGTTAGGACTATGAATGGACATATTTGTGCATTAAGCCATTGATATGTATTTAATGATTATGTAAATTTCTAAGTCAGTATATTACCTTCTGCACATTCAAAACTTATGGCAGCTTCTTGTTCTTCAAAACTTATGGCTTCTTCTTGACTGCTACCTAATTCTTCTAGATTGCTACTAGTATTGCTATCTGTTTCTTGTACATTGCTACTAGTACTAGTACCTGTTACAATTAATAACACACACATTTAAACGGATATTAATAAACATTATATGAAACTTGTCTCAAGTTAGATATTCAGACTTGAATTTAGAATCTAATGTGAGTTTCTTAATTAAATTATGTGATTAAAAATATATTATATATATATTATACAATTTTATTATACAATTGAAATAAAAAACTTAAATCTAGTGATACAAGACTTTAAGTAAAGATACAAGGCGTTTTAAGTAAAGACTATTAATAATGCCCCAAGTTATTTGAAATTTAATACTGCTTCTCTATTGATATATAATCTATATATTTATAACACAATTAAAATTGTTCATACCTTGTGACGAAGTATAACCTATTTGGGTCGAAAGTTTCGCATGCTGCAATAACTGCGTAGCATATTTTAAATCTAAAATACGAGTTTTTTTAACATTTCCAATAAGAGAAAATATATATATTATATTCGAAAAAATTTGATATCTAGTCGATTTTACTTATTGATTATACAAAAAACTAACAATTTTTTATTATTTGATTCTTTGTCGGACGTCTTTATATTTTCAATTTCGCATTATAATATTATATATTTATAAAAATATTGTTTATTTTCTTACCAGTTCGCGCTCTGTTTGCATCCCTGCTGTTTACTATTATTTTAAATTCTTCGTTAGTTTCTGCGTCTATTAGACCATATTTCATGAATGTTTTCCACGGGCGCCGCCATCTTTCTATTGCGAATGCCTTACCTCGCCACCCGCAGTAACGAAAGCAGGAAGTGACGACAAATTCTATGACGTCACATGCTCTTACAAGCTCGTCGAAAGTTTACTGCAGAGCATTTTGGAACGGCACTTCAGCACTTCAAGTACTGAAAGTTAATATCGGAATGCACCCTAAGCGTGAGTGGCGCCCTGTTGGGGACGCGGCTTTGAAGGTGCGGGTTGGAGAGCCTTTTTTCCCCCTCCGCCCCTTTCCCCTTCCTCCTCCCCACCACTCGGGCCCATGTATCGGTCCCGGGGCAGGGGGAAGTGGGGAATTGGGGCCCCCCACGGACCGCGCATTCGCAGTCCGGTCCTGGGGGAGGGGCCCGCCTCTCCCGCAAGTGCAGCAGTGGGCGGCCGGCCTCACAAACGGTTGCCGGCCGCCCTCACCATCCGTCCTCTTCCCTTTCCCCTCCTTCCTCTTCCCCGGCCTCAAAGAAGCGGGAGTCACGGAAGGAGAGGTAGAGGCAGTAGCTGAGGGGCTGAGAGCGCCTGATGTCCCCCATCCCTCGCCCCGCCCCCACCACTATCCTTTTGAGGGGCTCTTTGGGGCCCGGCGGACCGCCCACCGGATATTCCGGGAAAGGCGGCCTCCAGGGCATCCAGCAGGCGGGCGAATAGGGCCGTTATTAGGGCCTCTAGGTCCCCGCCGTTCCATATCGCTCCCCCGGAGGCCGCATTTCTGGTTAAGGGGGGCCCCTGCCCCCCACCGCGACCTCCGGAGGCCGTCCGCCTTCAGACAGGCTCGCCGGCGCGGGTATTCCCACGCCGGTCGATGTTGGTGTCTTTTTCTTTTTTTTATTCTTCCTTGGGGACCGGCCAGCACCCTCAGCGGCGCTGTTACGCGCCCGAAGAGGGGGGGGGCCTCCCCCGAGGGCAGTGTTCCGGCCGCCAAATCTCTGGCCACCTCTTCCCGACATTGCTTCCCGATCTTAATCTTTTCGGGAGGAGGGTCAAGGCCGATCCGGCGGCCGGGTCCCTCCATGGTCACCTCCTCCTCACTGGAGGTAGATGGGAGACGCCTGGTTATTCTTTTCTTATTAACGGGCTGGGAGAGGGGCGGGGATTCCCCCGCCACACAGTCCGCTCTCTTCCTTTTGCGGTCCGCAGAGGAGTCCTGGTTAGTGGGATCCCCCCGCGGAGCCGTCTCGGGGCCCGACAAGTCGGCCCCGTCAACCTCCATGTGGTGCTGGTTGGAGGAGCCAGGGGCTGGAGGAGGTGGCCGGACCCTCCCCAATTCCTCCTTTAGTCGGTCGAACTCGAGCCGAAGTAGAGCGCCCTCGACTTGTAGGCGCTCCACTTCAGCCGAGGCCGCCGCCCGCTTCCTCTTAGCAGCCTCACCCAGCTCAGAGTCATTAGCTGCAGTGACCCTATTTGCCAGGGTAAGGCTGCACGCGGCTATCCTCGCCGCGGCATCCCAGAGGGCTCCCTTATAGGAGTCCTTAAGGCTCCGCGACTTTTTTTACTTCGTCGAGCTTCTAGGGCCATCGACGAGATTTCCTCGGTCTGTTTGAACCGCAGGCTGCGGAGGATCTCGCTTTCCTCTTCCTGTGTTCGGAGAGCCCTCCGGGACTGCGGGCGAACGGAAAAGTCCCTCACCTCATCCGCGCCCGACAGTGCGTCGCTCTCCTCCTTCTCTCGCTTTCTATAAGCAATGGAAGCCGCCGTGTGGTCTTCCGGGCGGGAGTACCGGCGGGCCGCCTACCCTTTTTTACAGACCTCCCCTGCGCGGGGGAGACCGACCGCGAACTGATGTCGCCGTCGCTGCTTCCCACGCCGAGGTCGCTCTCCCTGTCGCTGTCGGGGCACGCCGAGGCCGATGATGTCTCCGCGCGGTTCCCCGTGCTCTCGTTGGGGCGATCACTCGTCCCAACCTCTCCAGTGAGGCCACTGCCGGTCTCACACTTCCCGGCCGAGCTGGTGGTCGGCTCAGCTATGGGCGAATTACGCCCACTTGATATGGAGGCGTACGCCTCCACCTCCTCTTCCTCTCCTCCTGCGATGTCTTTAAAATTTAAATTTGATATTATCATTCTTGGGTTGCCCGCCCCTTATCACCCGGAGGCTTACAGGGCGGGCCACAAAAATCGGAGGAACTAGATACCCCCCACGCGGAGCCCCACTCCTGGGTTCTGGCTATATACACCCGGGGTGCGCCAGGACTCCTCGCGACCGGCTAACCCGCCGGTCATTCATCCCATCGCCACGGCTTCCAAGCTTATGTTT